ACATGGTATGGTGGTACCGGTACATGTTTTGGCAACGTGGAATTTCTTGTGACGTAGCTCCGCCCCCAAAAATAGCTGATTTGATTCAAACTTGGCAGGTTAACCACACATCATGGTTTGCAGTATCTCTTATTTATTCAAGCTGATCCAATATGACCAATTGGCTACATTTTCTTTATTGACATTGTTCATGTAATCTTTATGTTCAAAGCTGGATGGTACATCAACAGCAATACACCTACATCAATTTTGTGGTTTTGTCCAATATCCAGTTTTAGCAATTTAATAATCTGACCAACATCATTGCTGCTAACAAGAGATTGGGAAAACTAGTTAAAATCTCCTGCAGTATGGTCACTTGTCAATAATGGCTTGTTACAAATTATCAACATTTGCTGGGTACAGTACAATGGTGGTACGTGATTGCTTTTGTTGGCAGCTAAACACCAGTATATACAGCTGAGTAATGGTCATTATGATTGGAGACAATTGATGAAGTATGTGAATTAAGCCCGGAACAAAATATTCAGGTTTCTGATCATTATGTGCATCAGTTAAAAACGTGTGAATTGTTTTCAGCATTTTATTTAAATTTTTATGACACACATTGAGTTTAAAAAATGACCAGAAACATTTTTATTTTTTTATTCTGAGCCTCATCTGTTAGAAACCAAACAGTGTACATTGTAACAAACAGTGTAGCACTTCAATTCCTCCAGAGTTTTGAACTTAGTAGTCACATTTTTCAATCAATACATCCTAGAACTCTTCTTTCAGAGCAACAATTACATGCAGGTTTATTTAAACCAAATGTCCCATATCTCGCTGATCTGTACTGTCTATAAATATCACGTTGAACCACTTTCACTATCCACTACTGTAACATTGTTTACTTTCTCAAGTTTAATTCCATGTTGTAAGTTTTCTTTAATTTTCTTCTGCTGTAGTCTTTTTCTGGCTCTATCATACCGACAGACACACCTAGGGTGAAACATACAAAATACAATTTGAATGTCTTGAATAAAATTTGTATTGATTGACAGTTGCCATGAAATCTCATAGGTCCATCATCACCATTCAAACTTTTTATCAAGTTACTGAAGTTGACCATTAGTCTAGAAGGGATGATGCAAATTTTGTTTTTCATGATGTAAATTTTTTTTTCTTGCCTTTCTATATCAAATGTAAGTGGTGCTTTTGTTTCTGTAATTGTCCCTTGTTCTGTAACTGTTTCATGACCAAGGTTTTTTCTAATGATCATCCCCATAGACCTCCTTCATACACTATCTGCAACACTCCACTAAACCCTGTAATTATGATTTCCACATCTGTCATTAATTTGTGCAAAGGTGACGCACACTAATATTATATGATGTCATAAGATACTTTATGTTCATTAGCCAGTTTAAATGCTGCATGCTGGGAAGTTCTCAATAATCTCATGATCTAAGATTCAAAATTCAAATCAGAACTTAGCGTTAGTGGAATGTGGCATATAGAGATTAGAATGCTGCATAGATTATAGTTGTTAACAGTTTGCGACTTGCAGCGAGTTGATCGCTGCAATCCTGGGCATAATATCACACCCCACCGCACCTGTGTTCAGTGTCCCCACCCCAACCACTAACCCCATATCTTTGAAAAATAAAATTGTCCATTACCATGCTCCAAGTGTAATGAATCCGAATGACAATACACTAACATCGGCTGACCTCTTGACACGACCTATGAAGAGAAACAAAATCTAAATTGGTATAATGGCGGAAGTATCATGCAAGAACAAATCCACTTATGTTTCAAAATCAAATCCTTCATTTGTGAAAGCATATCTTAAACTTGCATTTGATCAATACTGCCACGGTTACCCAAACATATTACTTGGATTTGAAACTTTACCCTGGTATGAGATAGCAAATTGGTGAATATACCTTGCCTTGGCATGGCTTGCAATCAACAACATGATATTTCATCACTATTGACACTGTGAGCTGGTGATGAACCTTAGACAGACTAAATCACTATCAATTTATGAGCTGAAAATATGTGCTGTTATAATCAATATTCAATTAGTAGATTAGTATTTTTTTCAAGTGTACCCAATAGAGTTACTGTATTATGATACTCACTTGTAAACATGAAATGTGCTAGTCCAATAACAAGACCACTTCCAACACCTGTCATGAAGGCTGTCCGACTACATGGTATTTTGAAAAAACCCTGAAATCAAACACATTTATCATCAAGTGACATGTGTATGGATATTATTGGAATGGAGGGAAAGCTCTTCATAAAATTTGCATAAAAAGGAAACAGCATAATGCTCCCAGATGAAAGAGCTCAAAAAACGCAGGAAAATGCAATTTATGCAGTTTCTTTGGTATCTCTTTTCATTTTCTATCTAGATATTCAACTTTTCATTATCCTGCATTATGTAGTCCACCATTTGATTATCCAGCAAAGGATTATGGGTAAGGTATATATGGTAGCCACTTTTGTGAAAAATTTATAAAATGATTTTATCTATAGCTCAAAAGTAGTAAATAATAATATGAGGTTATTACGAGTATACCTCAAAGTATGCA